AACATATTTTTAATTTAATTGAACATGAAGCTAGCAGTGAATTTAAAACAAAAACATTTTCAACTAGTGTAAAATCAAAGTTTTGTGACTGGGCCACGTTTGGTATTTATAAGTCTAGGGCTAATCTTTACGAACTTTACGAAAAACGAAGCTATATATCCGATCCCTTATTTCATGAACATGTAAAATCTTATTCGAAAATATTTAAAAAGGTTTGTCATACAGCTAAGTCTCTCTATTTAGGTAAAATAATAACTAAATCTAAAGATAAAATAAAAGCCACTTGGAAAGTAATAAATAGCGAAACTGGAAAAGTTAATTTTCAAAATAGCAAAATAGCTTTAAATATTAATAACAAATTGGTAAATTCCGACACAGAGGTCGCGCATACATTCGAATCTTATTTTACTAATATTCCATTAATTACGACACAGGCTCTAAAATCTTCCCCGTCTGCTGCTGAAACTTTACTAACAGACAATGTTAGCAAGTCATCAGCTGTATTTAACTTTAGACATACATCATCAGTAGAAATAATGAAAATATTCAAACAACTTAATAATAAAAAAACAGAGGATCTATGGGGTATGTCTGTTAAAATACTGGATAGTATAATAGAAATTATTGCGCCCTCTCTTGCTTTTATTTTCAATAAATGTATAGATGAAGGTAAATTTCCTAACATAATGAAAATTAGTAAAATCATACCGCTTTTTAAATCTGGAGATAGGAGTGACCCAATAAATTATAGACCTATATCCATACTCCCAGCACTCAGTAAAATTTTTGAAAAAATAATCCTTATGCAACTTGTCAGTTATTTCAATTTAAATAATTTAATCCACAATAGTCAATTCGGTTTTTCCAAAGGTCGTTCAACTACAGACGCAGGTGCAGAGTTGCTTAGACACGTATTTGCTGCATGGGAAACTAAAATGGATGTGATAGGTGTTTTTTGTGACCTTTCTAAGGCTTTTGATTGCGTTGATCATAATACATTGCTAAAAAAACTTGCTTTTTATGGCGTCAAAGACAATGCTTTAAATTTAATAAAATCTTATCTATCTGATAGAATACAGAAAGTGAAGATTAGCAACGCTACGTCTGACGGGTCACTTGTGCAAATGGGTGTACCTCAAGGATCTATTCTCGGTCCATTTTTATTCCTAGTTTACATTAATGATCTCCCATATGCCATGCAGGATAGATGCGGCATAGTATTGTTTGCAGACGATACTTCATTGATTTTTAAAGTTAATAGAATGACTAATAATTATGACGATGTAAATAGTGCTTTGCGGCGTCTCCTGCACTGGTTTACAACTAACAATCTTATGTTAAACGCTAAAAAAACAAAATGTGTTAATTTCTCTCTATCTAAAAGTTTTAATACTAATTGCAATATTAAATTAAATGACGAATCTCTCGAATTCATAGACTCTACTGTCTTTCTAGGAATCACACTAGATAATAAAACACAATGGGGTGCACAAATTCAAAGCCTTGCAGCGAAACTAAGTTCAGCAGCTTTTGCCGTGCGTAAAGTTAGACAGTACACTGATACTGATACTGCTAGATTAGTCTATTTTAGTTATTTTCATAGTTTACTCTCTTATGGAATATTACTATGGGGAAAAGCGGCAGATATTAAGAATATATTCATATTACAAAAACGTGCCGTTCGAGCGATCTACTGTATGAAGAGTCGTGACTCATTAAGAGAGAAATTCAAAGAGGCAAATATTCTCACCGTTGCTTCTCAATTTATATATTCAAATATTCTATATGTTCATAAAAATCTTGACTTATTTCCAAAAAACAGCAATATTCATAATATTAATACTAGATTTAAAGACAAACTTGCTGTCCCCAAGTATCGTTTAGAAAAAGTTAATAGGTCTTTTATGGGAATAGTTATAAAAATTTACAATAAGATACCAAAGGATATGTTGGAATTACCCTTAAATAAATTCAAAACATCTGTTAAATCATATTTACTGAGCAAAGCCTATTACTCACTAAACGATTACTTGAATGACGAGTGTGCATGGCAATAGTTGTTCATGCACTGAATTTTTATTTAATGTTAGACATAGACACCTATATAAATATATATTGTAAATAAACTGGCTTTAAAAAAAAAAAAAAGTAATTCAATTGAGTTTCTTGCCAGTTCTTCTCAATTGGATCTATATACCGAACTGGACGGTAGGGAAAATATAAAATTATAATGTAAAAATTTGACGTTCATAAGCGGCTAAAATGTCCTACATGAATAAATGATTTTTGAATTTTGAATTTTTTTTGAAACTCTAATACTAAGTAGTCGAGAGATGGACAGCAGTGTTCCCTTTTAAACAACAATATAGCCTAACTGCGGTTGCCAACCCGCCCGTCAAGCGTGGTAAACCCCCCTTTTAGGGGAGGCCTATGTTCAGCAATGGCTTATTAACAACTGATATAACAATATTATAATAAAATATGAGTACAATAAATATGTACGTAATTTTTAAATCATTTCACGATTTCGACCAGTTTTTTAATTTTTAAATATACTCGTATCTACGTTCTTATGTAATAATAATAATCTAATTAATTTAATTTTGGCTATTTAAAAATTGTACACTGCTGTATCCGCTGACATTGATGCTCCTTTCCACTTTGGGTTTGCTGGAAGAAAACTCTATCAGAGTTAAGCTCGCCTTTGTACTTTTGTTTACCTCTGTCATATTTTTATAACTAATGTGTACAATAAAGTATTAAATAAATAAATAAATAAATAATAATAATAATAAACTCTTTATTGCGCACAATAGAGATGTATACAAGGAGTATTTATACAGAATGTGCATATACAAAAGGCGGCCTTATCGCTAAAAGCAATCTCTTACAGACAACCTATGTAATGCATATATACGAGTATGGTGATAGTTCAAGACTAAACTATAAAAATGCTACGAAATTAACTTCAAGCAAGCACCTTGGTTTATAAAATCAAATCGATGAGGAAAATTCTGGTGATATTTTTTCTTATATAATATTTAACCTCGTGTAAGTTGATTGTTCTTTTTTTTATATTACACTTTATATTTTTGACATTTCAGAAAGTCACACGTATTGGACTTTGTACTTAAACCTGAATGACGCCATGATAATTATTAGCAATATTGTCATTTTGTACAAAACAGATTCAGTTTCAGAGTTATGTAGTGAAATTATAAAATCGAAATTTTGCGATATACCAAGTTCCAGGACATAAGTATAAGAATTGATCACACGAATGCAATAACTTATTCGTTTCTTTTTTAACCAACTTCAAAAGGAAGGAGGTGGTATTAACAATAATAATAATTCTTTATTTGGAACAAAAACATTGGTTACAATATTATTGAAAAACGATGATATCCGCAGAAGTATAAAACTGTTTTATGTTTGTTACTTCAAAACTTCATCAATTCTAAAATGATTTCAAAAATTCTTTCTTTACTCACAAATTGGTCCCTTTGAAATTTTATCAAGTTCGGTATAGTACTTTAATTTTCGATCACCATAATTGGGTTTGTCAAGAAGTCAGTTTTTTTTTTGTGGGACACACTCTTTATTTGTAAAAGGCATTCTCCTCCATACAAACAAGAACACTTTTTTGATATTTATTTTTATGTTTACTTTCTTATTAATATCTTTAATATTATAAATATGAATGTGAGTTTGATTGTCACCACATAGAGCCTTAACAGTTTAACCAATCACTATGAAATTATAGTACACATGTAAGTTATACTAAGTCTATGGTTAAAAAAACCCAGGAGTAGAAAAGAAAAAAAGAAGTTATTGTTTTTAATTACGACAGAATTTTTTTTATACATCTTAGAGTGGCAAACAAGCTGACGGCCCACCTGATGGAAAGTGGTAACCGTCGCCTATAGACATAAGCAGATATATGTACCTACTTTATTTAAGGCGCCTGATCCAAATTAAGTCCGTTACAAATCAATATTCGATATTGCTCTACCTTTTTTGTCAGGCTCCAAAAGTATCTATATTGTTGTATTGTTAATTGCATTATTCCGCGGAAAAATGGGATTGTTGTTGTATAATTATATATTTTTTTTTTCTCATCAAAAGAATGAAAGATAAATAATGTCAATGGAGATATGCCCTAACTGGTAGTGAAATTACTGGATGTCTACTGATAATGACTTACACCGTAGCCATATCTGATGGATATGGTGTTTTTTTTTTTATACAACTTAGAATGGCAAACAAGCTGACGGCCCACCCGATGGAAAGTCGTAACCGTTGCCTATAGACATAAGCAGTACCATAGACATAACAGAGTATACTGTTTCGCCCATGATACCTCCCATGCGTTGCCATTCCTGAGGACTCAGGTGTTATTCCTCTGTACCCAGTAATTTCACGCCATATCCCACCCTTCCCATTCCCCCCAAACCGAAACAACGTATAAGTCATTATCTATGGGGAAAGGGATTGTTAGTAATGTGGACTATCCCATTGTTAACAATATATTCTGTCAAGTTGGTCGTCCCCGCTTTAAACCATCGTATTGAATTTCAGATATATACATCACGATGGAGTAACTGACCTTCTTTTTCTTACTCACGATGATGACGATCAGCGATGCGCGGAATTACCGACCTTTTTACCTTACCTTTGCATCCAAACTATGCGGACACTCGTCTCTGTACAATTTTTTATATTACAAAATCAATCAACAAATACCGTCTATCATTTGTACCAACTCCAACCCTGTACAGGTATAAAAAATTGAAGTTTTTTTTTTTATAAAGGACATAAGAGCGAGTCCCGTACTTGCCTGATGATAAGTGATTATCGTCGCCAAGATAAATTACTGGTGTGTTGCCAGCCTCTTAGGAAGAATATACCTAATAGTTGCTGATGAGTTTACATATCAGAAACATGGTTTTCTCTTTACGTTCTATATAAATAGGAATGAAATAAAAACAATCTCGTTCCCCATAAAACCTTTATTTAATGTTTAGTTTATTGATATCCCAATTTTATTTATATATATCCATAGGTATATGTCTCTTGACATAGTTACTAGCAACTCAACCCGATTTAAAAAAAAAAACTGTTATCACTGATTTTCCTTGTGGAATTCGTTACGATGGACCAAATCTGTTTTCATCCTCATTGATGCCCCGACAACGTATCCTAATAGCACAGACAGGGTTATCATTCCATTCCCACCCATTAAAAATCTCTTAGACCTTGGTGCCCCTTTTAAATTTCGGTATCCCCTTCTAAGCTGGTACTGGTCTTATATAAAATTATTATTTTCGCATCTATTGATCTTATTAAGATCCCTCATATAAATTTTCCTCTCTCATGAACAGACATACTCTGGTTACAATTTTATTATAATATTTTAACATTCCCATCACTGACAGGAATTAGCACTGAAGTTTAAAAAAAAAGCGAATGCAACAGATCACAGTATGTTAAAAATTCTGGCTGTCACCGCTCATTTTTTTAATAACAATAAATACAATTTTATTGTATTATTAATAAGAGAGTTTCCTATACCCGATACTTTTTTTTTTATTAGAACCCCAAAAATAGTTTTATTACAAATTTGACATTTTCATGAATATGCTTACTAAATATCACTCAAACATATTATATACCTACCTATCCAATCTATCACACTTTTAATCCCCTCATTAAGTCTTAATTTTTAACAATTTGGCTTCATTTAAATAATAAGGAATACTTATAAAATATTAACTTAGAATGGCATCTGTACTAAATTTGTATGTAAACTAAATTTGTGTACTTGCTTAGTTATATTTAAAAATGTAATTTATTTTTTTTAATATCGACATTAATCAATTATTATGATGTGACACTTATTCTAAATAACACCATTGTTTTAAAAATTTACAATTATGTATCATGAAAACTAATTGAAATTTTAAATATAAACTGACCAGATTTTCGTACCTAATGATATGTTCAAAAATATAATACATATTTGAATTTCATTTTAATACTCAGTATTAAGAAATATTAAAATATAACAACTAGTTTAAAAAATATTATATAATTGAGCTATCAGGAAGTTATATTTTTTCAACCTATTATAATATTGAAATTTAATATTTCATTATTTGCCTTGCGGTTTATTATTTATCAATACAATTTTGTAGTAACTTAATACTTTTCTAGTAAATCTTTTTAATCGGTTTTTGATGAACCGCAAAAAGAAACTAGAATGTACCAATATTTTGGTAATACATCATTTAGCTTGTAAGTAAATAAATCCTTAAATTTGACGTACTTAAATTTAATAGTATAAGTACGTAATTGTTTTTGTAGGTGGTCGATCAAATTAATGTAGTCTTTACCATTTATCTAACAACGCAGACATAATAAACACCTTTGCAAAAAAATAGATTTTTTTTATACATAATTGTGAATACAATTATTGTTTTTTTTTTTATGCAACCTAGAATGGCAGAGAAGCTGACGGCCCACCTGACAGAAAGTGGTAACCGTCATCTACAGACATGAGCAATACCATGAACATAACCGAGTATACTGCTTCGCCCATGATACCCCCCATGCATTGTCATTCTTGAGGACTCAGGTGTTATTCCTCTGTACCCTGTAAATTCACGCTATATCCCACCCTTCAAACCGAAACACAGCCATGCAAACATAACTGCTTCACGTTAGAAACACGAATGGGACAGAAATGCCCAAGCAAACGACTTTTGTACAAAGTCTTCCTCTGATATATTGTTGATTATGAAATAAAATTGGTATTGGTATGGTGGGAAAATAATCATTACCCATTTTAGTTGTCGTCCATATCGGTCGAAAATCTATGTTAATTTTAATCGGCTGCTACATTTTGGTATTGTATATTGAATAACCGATAATAGACTTAAAAGTCTATTACTCAATATTAATTTTCGGATAACAGACTTTCAACATATTCATTATTGGACCAATATATAGTTATTATAGCTACAATATATAGATATTCCTATGTATTACTCACCCCTAGTGATTTCATAACGTTTGCAAGATTTCGTTCTTTTATAGCTGTAGTGGTCGTTACAATTGTATAAACAGCCTCCTTTAGACAGAGTACAAACGAATCTATTGATAGAATCGTTATGTAGCGAGTCTATAAGATAGAATGAGATGGCAACGTGCACTGACTTGTTTCTTCTTATGTGAGCGCTGAACGAACCGGTTCTATGGATTCGTATGTTGTCTACGGTGACTGTTATTTTTAAAATAAACAAAACGTTACTAATTAATACTAAAGTTATTACACAAGCAACTCTAATTACAAAATTAACAATGTTTCAATTCCTTGGAAAAATTTTAAAATAAATTTTAAATAATAGAAATATGGTTATAGTCCTCAAGAATGCTAATGCATTCTTGAAAAATGCAAACGCATTCTCGAAGAATGCTAACGCATTCACGAGGATAATTATGGGTATTACAGAGTATTTTGTTGTGTCCACAGTGCTGTTCACATCTATAGGCGATTGTTACCACTTTCCAATAGGTGGGCCGTCGGTTTGCTTACCATTCAATGTTCAATAAAAAAAAATAACTTTTATCTTATTGCAAAATGTCCACTTTTTTGCAAAGGGGTATTCACTAATGATCCATCATTTAAATATTTATATTTAAATAGTCATTACAAGTTTCGAATTCATACTTTTTAACATAGTTGAAAAAATTTCATATTTTCTTTTCAATCCCTTCTCGCCCATATAATATGGGAAACCATAACTTGTTGCTAAATAGAACACGCCCTGTTTAGTCTTATCAACGTTAAGACCGAGTAAATTAGTCACTAACGGTTGTCGGTCATAACAGTTCCTTTCTCTGGCCTGCTGCACTGAGTCACACTGCATTGCTATAAAGGAATCGGGATTTTGCAACGCTGAAAACCAAAGCGTATACGCTCTTATGTGACTGCAAAATATGTTACACGGTAACCAGAATATATCGCCAGGTTGATACTCTCCACCGTTGACGTAAAAATTTACATGACCTACTGGCGCGGCCATACCAAATCCATCGATGTTAGTCGCCACTACATCCACAAAATCAGCATCACTTCGATCCAAACGATCCTCCGGACCTAAGTTCCTGAAACAAGGTCCAGACGGATCCAGAGCAGTCAGTCTGGCTATAGTACTCCCAGTCAGTGCCTTGTATGTCTTTGCGACGTAACTCATAGTCTGCCCTCCGAGACTCAGACCTACTATCTCTAATTTCTTAGGATCGAATTCCATGTTGTAGTTAGTCAAGTTGGACAACATTTCACCTATGTGTTTCCCAACCGCCCGCATGAGTCGAGCGGTCCTGAAATGAAATTACAACCTATATTAGTAGAAGTAACTTTACAATTTTTAAACAATCTTTACCTTTGAAAAGGTTCGTAATTCACGTGTAAGTTACACTAAATTTTAGCCAATTTCAAACCATTTTTAATAGAAATATTTGCAAATGATATAATTTACTTTCATAACGTTTTTGTCACAATTGAATTCGTTATTTTTCTGACAGAATGATAAATAAGTTGATTACCCATCTTATAGAAAGAATGATTGCAATCTTACAGAAAGCATATACAGAAAATATAACAGTGTATGCAAGGACCTTGATATCTTCCAACAATCCTTGCAATGTTACATTGAGGCTGCCAATTTGTTACTTTAAATTTATAGTCGCTATTATTTTAATGTTTGTAATATCGAATGTTATGCAGAGCAGTTATTGGAGTGCAAATTTGATGCTGTTTTATGTAACATTTATCGTACTAATGTATTAATTTATGATCTGTTGCTTTGCTATAAATAAATAAATAATTAGAAAGAACAGTTCTTTTGTCGCCAGTAGACATAAAGAGTACCTCATTGGCTTCACACAATGTACTATGAAACTCATGGTACTTCTTATGCGTTTCCATTCCTGTTTATTTTAAAGATATTTCCTTTTTTATTTTCATGTGTATTATACTTAAAATCTTTACTCATTCTGAATCGACTTTCATCACTCTTTTTACAATCAATGTTTTATTTTTATATCGCTTCAATATCAATTTATAATTGTCAGAATTAAAGTCGATTTTTCATTAAACAAAATCTTAAATTATCCTTTACAGGTTACTAGTTACTTGTTAGTATACTCACACGGGATATTCCACTTTGAAAAATTTATTCATATCCACCAGCAAAACATTGTAACCCAGTCTTCTATAATTCGTTTCTAAGGCTGTTGCGAAAGGGTAATTTGGACTGTCCAAAAATCCACCCACATATAACATGGTTTTCTTGCTATAATCCATTGTTGGTTCATCGCTCAACTCTTTCATTTGATAATAGGAGTACCTCAGTCTACTCGATTTTGGTGGCGCATTTATCCCTAACACTGTGAATGTTAAATACTTGAGACTTTTATTTGTGATTGTTGTAGGTTGTTCTGAACCGGGACCTGTAATAGGAAATACACATGATTATTTATGTGTTTAGATGTATATAATTATTTGCATATGTTTTATTAGATACACTTATTTGTCACAAAAATTGTCTTTAGCAATAAGTCTACCTTTTATACTTTATTATAAGTGTAACATACATATATATAGTTGTATTATACTTTAAGTAAATAAATTAATAAATATATAATGCCTGACAATAATATTATTAATTTTACTTTCCTATTAATTTTTATTTACAATCATCTAAGTATTCACTCTCAATTTAAATTGAAAGAAATGGTATAATTTAAGCAAATTGTAATTATTAACTATACATGAAAATTTCTTGTACTACAATTATTATATTCGATTACCATCTTGTAACTCTATTGCGGAATGTAAAAATCGAGATTAAAAACCGAAGTTTATCATAAAAGGGTGAAAATTTGAAATTGTATGTATTTTTCAATGCTAAATGATAATAAAATAGAAATAAAAAAATTAGCAAAAAAAAATTATGGTGTGGTTTACCCTTATCATTAATGGATATAAAAAATAGATGTTAGCCGATTCTCAGACCTACCCAATATGCACACAAAATTTCATAAAAATCCGTAAAGCCGTTTCGGAGGAGTTTGGTAACAAACATCGCGACATAAGAATTTTATACTCATATATTAGATTCACTCTCTTTCTAGTCATGATTTGCTTAAAAAAGTTGAAGCAATTTTTAGATATTATTCTTTTTATGTATTATATTATATACTTAATAGTCATTTTATATATTATTTATACTTCGTAGAATTAATTTTATTTTCACCTATATATGGTAGATTTCATAGTATATCCAGTCATGCTAGATAGCTAGCTAGTTAGTTTGAAACGAGGTAATAGGGAGGAAGTGAGTAAAGTTCAGCCTAAAATCACTTAAGCACACTTCAATGGTTTGTTTTCAGATAACCGATCCAAGGATACGATCAATGTAAACCGTGTTAGTTAACTATTATCAGTAAGGCGAAACTAAATAAGGACATCATTGTGGTCGACCTTATTGTATTTATGTTATTCTTTTAACAAATTACAAACACCCGTTGACCATATTTGGGTTATAATTATTGTTAATATAATAATACTTATTTGGCCCAATCTGTCAATATTTGAAAATACACAAATGAGTATGTGCAGGTTTGCATGTAGAGGAAAAATTTATCGGAAACATTTTTCGTAGAATACAAAAAAAGAACGCATCTAGTAACGACTGGCTATTTTTTTCCGATGCTACATCTATATGTATAAGATCTAAATAAATAAATAAATATTTAAACGTTTATTTCGTGTGATCTCGGCATAAAATAGGCCACCCTTTCCTTTCCAATGGGTGTCATAAGAGGTGATTAAGGGAGGGCGAGGGATGGGCAGCAGTATCTCTCTTAAAACACCTCCAAAGCCTAAATACGGTTGCCAATCGAGGTAACTACTGGCAAAATCCTAGTGTATTATTACCAGAGGGAGACTTTGTACAAAAGTACAAAATACTTTGTATTCTGTCCCTTTCTTGTTTCAACCGTGAAGCAGTTGTGTTTGCATGGCTGTGTTTCGGTTTAAAGGATGGGATATGGCGTGAATTTACAGGGTACAGAGGAATAACACCTGAGTCCTCAGGTATGCCAACGTATGAAGGGTATCATGAGCGAAACAGTATACTCTGATATATCCATGGTACTGCTCATGTTTGTTGCATCACGCAAAAACTACTGTAATAAATTGGAGGCAGTTTTGACAATTATACTTCTGAAAGATTTACTTAAAATTTGGTGTAAAATAGACGAAATAGTATACTCTATTATGTCCATGGTACTGCTCATGTCTATAGGCGACGGTTACCACTTTCCATCAGGTGGGCCGTCAGCTTGTTTGCCATTCTAAGTTGTATAAAATTCTTTTTAATAATTATAGCAAATAAAAGTGTAACTAATAGGAAGTATAGACAACTGTAATATTATTCAGATTGGCACAACTATGTTAATGTAAATAAGGACAATCTTATTATGTTTACATTTTATAAGTATAAACACAATATTTTATGCTTATAAAATACATATACATTACAAGGATAATAGTAAATACTCGTAATTAGGTATCAATAAATTATAATTTATTAACTCGTGACAATAAAAAGTCAAGCTATGTGTGCGCACGTATCAACTTTGTGTATAAACTGTAAATAAACATAAAAAAAAAATTAAATTTATAATTTTAAATAATTTGTTAATTTAAAATAAAATTGTTTAATAAAATACCTTTTTATGAATAATGATGGAATGGTAACCCCGCCTGCGTGTCGACCTCCACGTGGAAACCATCGTGGTTAATTCTAGTTGAATTCGTCAGGATAGGCTAACTGAACTGTTTGTATCCTCATCTGTCACCTCTCACTGGTGCTCCACCAGTGTATATCGATAGCACAGGCGATGATATGGTAACCTACCATATCATTATTACTCATTACAAAAAACTCTCGCCTGCGCTGTCAGTATACATTGACGAGACAACAGTGATAGATTATAGGTGAGGATGAAAGCAGGTTAGTTAGCCCATCCTGACGAATTCAACTAGAATTAACCACGATGGTTTCCAGAGAGAACCACTTGCAGTTCGAACGGATAGGGTAAATTGTCAGCAATGGGGATGTTAGACCCCATTATTAACAATCCTATTATAAAGTAAATTGTAATCTAATCTATGTCTCTACAAACAAAAATCTACTGACGTATATATTGGTATTTTAAAATGGGGAGGAGAGGCGTTTGGGAAATGTCCATCTGAGGAATCCACCCCCAGGATACGAACGGAACTTTTAACCACGGTAATAGATATATCAGACATATAGTGACTCTTTACGCGGTCAGGCCTTTGCTAGAAAAATATATTAAATACACCAGTTGATGTCATCATCATCGTATGATGATGATAATAGATCAGCGAGTGACAAGAGCTATATTTTATTTTAGAAACATCCTGCAAAGCCAAAGCAGGCCTTTAGTACTATATCTTTCTTTGAAGGAACAATACACAGTTTTCATTCGTTCAGTTGAGCTCTGCTCTTTTTTTTTTACAACACAGGGGGCAAACGAGCATGCGGCTCACCTGATGGTAAGTGAAAAGATGGTAAGTGCTCTGCTCTGCTCTGCTATGCCTAATTTAAGGTAAAAAATTAACAATCTGATTATCTATCTATCCTATTTAAGAGCTGCGCTCTTGTCGGTGGAGCTCTTGCCACTCACTGCGATTTTCAGCGAGTCTCTTCACCTCTTAATACGACACGACATCAACTCCTTCCTTGATCTGCCTGATGTAACTGTGTCTTGGTCTCTCTCTTCCCTCTATCTTACCTTCTATTATAATGTTCATAAGTTCGTCGTGTCGTATCAAGTGTCTTCTGTCCAAACAAACTTATTTTTATGTACATAATAGGAATTAATTTTGGCATGCCATGCAATTACGGCATCTATTTACTTTTACATTTTTTTGTGTATGTACATGATGCGTCATCAATGCAAATTATTATACTCCTGCTAATTATATTTACCTTCTAATACTTCAATAAAATCGTTTCCGTAAAAATAAAAACTGCGTAATGAAGTGGACATGAATAAATTGCAAAATTTATCCCAAATCTCAATTCTTAAAGTAAATTTCTGCGTATGTTTTAATGGCTAATAATGGAACAGTATCCTCGCCCGCGGTAACGGTATACGTTACCGTTGGCGTGAATTTACTGGGTACAGAGGAATAACACCTGAGTCCTCAGAAATGGCAACGCATGGGGGGTATCATGGGCGAAACAGTATACTCTGTTATGTCCATGGTACTGCTCATGTCTATAGGCGACGGTTACCACTTTCCATCAGGTGGGCCGTCAGCTTGTTTGCCATTCTAAGTCTATAAAAAAAAAAAAAAAAAAAAAATACTGGTGGGGCACCAGTGAGGGCGATAGTTCAGAATGAAAAGGTAAGTCAGTTAGCCAATCGTGATAAATACACCTGGAATTCAGCACGATGGTTTCCAGGGAAGACCACGTGGGGGGTCCCAACAAAGTATATTGCTAGTAATAAGACAGGTAATTCGCATTACTAACAATCCCTCCCCCCCAGACTGATAGCTTAAATAGGCCACATTTATAATTTATTAAATGTACTTAAATGTAAAAAAAATTACTAATAATTTCGTATCATATAAGAAATTATAATCCTTAGCATTTATCATTTACATTGATCTAGGATATAGTAGGTCATCATCATGTCAGCCGTTAACTAACCACTGTTGAATATATGCCTATCCCTATTGAAGAATTTTGTAATTCCTTTCAAAACGGGAAATTATTTTCCTATGAATGTCGTAAGAGGAAAGAAAAGGTTGGCCTACGTGACGACCGTGGCGGTATATATATATATATATATATATATATATATATATATATATGATAATTATATATATATATATATATATATATATATATATATATATATATATATATATATATATATATATATATATATAAGTACATTAAAAATACAAGTAAATACAAGTAAATTTACAACACGGAGTTATGTATCGACAAGATTTCACTTCACAAAAAAAAAAACAATTTTAACTCCGCTAAACGGCAGCTTCAGTCTCAAAATTAATAGATATGGAACTGAGGAATCCAACCGATATGTAAGTAAATCCTTTCGAATTAAAAAATAATTATCAATGTCGATACAGAATTAACGAATAAAATTATGTTCTTTTTTTTATACAACTTAGAATGGCAAACAAGCTAACGGCCCATCTGATGGAAAGTGGTTAACCGTCACCTATAGACATGAGCAGTACTATGGAAATAACAGAGTTTACTGTTTCGCCCATGATACCCCACATGCGTAGGACTCAGGTGTTATTCCTCTGTATGCAAGTAAAGCATGTTCTCTCTCTCTCTCTCTCTCTCTCTCTCTCTCTCTGTTTCTTTGAA